CTTCCCCCAGATAGAAAGCCTAGTTTTACCACCATTTTTATATGTACTATTTTCATCTGAGAAAAATCAGAGAAAGCACTCCTTAACACAGCTCAAAATGGATAAGCAACTCTGAGCATAAAAGTTACCTGCAGCAGGCTAGAACCCAAAAGTGATGTTTACAACAATAATAGTTACAGATATGAATGTACCTGACTTCTGGCTTCCAGGTCTTCAGAACCCTGTGTTGCCAGGTTAAATTCTTATTCTAGATTTCATTTCCACAGACTACATACAGATCCTTGCACACCAACAGTGCTATGTGAGCAACAATAGGGTCTGGAAATGTTGAGATGGCAATCCCTTCATCTTATGAACACATGATTCCTTATATATTAAATCATTCAACTATTGATTAAGGAGTTGTATTGACAGGCTCCAGAACATGAACAATCCAGCCCTCCACAATCAGATGAATAGTGGAAAAGATTAAGGCTCAAAGATAAGGGAAAAACTGACTGATGAAGCAGAGTGCCAAAACAATGCCTCCTCAATGCACTGTAATAGTGCAGTACACTTAAATAGTGTAAGGCCAAGAAGCTTACCATACAATAACTGTTCTCTGTCTGGCATCCAAATTAGTAGTTAATTGCCATCCTGAACACACACAGATCAAATGGAAGAACATGCAGCAGCACACATCACAAAGTAACTGTACTCATGCGCACTTTAAGTTCAGAATTAAACTGTTTTAGGATCACACAGTTTTGCTAGTCAGAGCACTTCTGCTGTCCAAGTGGGAGACCCCCTAAAAAAGGAGAAATCAGACAGGAAAGAAGACAACATTGACAGGTGTAGAGGAGATGATGGGAAGAAAGATAGTGAAAGAGGAAGTAGGGATACAAAAGAGGTGAAGATAACAGCAAGGCCCTGAAGTATTCTACAGCTTTCCACTAAGATCTATACAAGTCACCAAAGTTTAAGGTAAATTACCAGTGTATTAGTAGCCTCTCTCTGGAAGTGATGGGTTACAAGGGAAACAGATAATTTAAACTTACGGTAAAAGTAGAAATAAGCCCCTCCTAGCAATTCCCGCTAACTGTTGGGGCTCAGATAAAATTTTAATCACAAATCACAAAGATTCTGCTTTTCATTGCAAGACCTGCCAAGTACTGAATTATTTGGGTCTCCATTAACCATCCAACAACTAATTTATCACCCAGCCAGCCAGTTGAAATACCATCCAATTTTATATTTGGGGGCAATTACTTTTTGAATAGTAAGTATGTTAAAATTCAATTTTTCATGTTGCTTGAAAGTTATGGGACTTCATCTTGCCTGGAATTTAGCTGAGAGAATTCTGACATAAAACTATCTTTTAGGGAGGTAAGGCGTGGGAGAGAGGAAAAGGGAGCCTTTCCAGCAGGACCTCAGTGTTTCAACTGAGAAGGAACAGGTATCTTCCTGAACTTTGTAACTGCTAAATTTGACAAAGTGAAATTAGTAATACACCAGCTAATTAATTTTGTGTTACTTGGAAGCTTAAGTCAGTTTCCTCCATTTATTCTACCACCTTTGTTGACTTTGCCTGTTTTGTGAAATGTGATGCCTTGTTTAGTTCCTATTAACTAAAAAACGACATTAGTGTGAGCATGAGCATGAGCATGGCCTGCATTGGGAAGCTCTCCTGCTCAGACGTCCTCTTAGGCTTTCACTTCAAAGGTTTCTTTTATTGCTGTTCTACACAATTCTCCTAGCCAACCCATTTTATCACCTCTTACAAAACTGTAGGGGAGGACAGGGAATTTTCTTCCTTATAATTCTATCCATTTTGTAATATCCTTAGTTTCCGACCTGTGCCTGTGTTCTGACTCTGTACAGACAGTAAGATAGTTACAAGACTTGTTAGTTTAACATTACTGCCTGCATATATAGGAATTAAAAAAAAAACAAAACACCAACACACACAACAAGGACCGTTTGTATCTGTTCACATTTGACTAGTACCAGCTATTCTACCAGCGACCACCTAAAAATATATTTTAAAGAACAAAATGCTACAACTTCCCATTTGGAGCCTATCATTTTTGACAGCACATCTCCCTGATATAATGATGCATCATGTCATGCCTGAAAAGTATGGCTTTATATTTCCCAAGCTTGAAAATATGTTTCTTTTGCTTATCCAACCTTGTCTTATACCATCTTTTTTCTGCCAGTGATGCCAAGCATTGATACTCCATTTGTTAGCTTTTCTTACAACCGTCTTTCTGCTTTGATTTGTGGAGTCCTCCCCCACAGCACAGAACATTTTACCTGAGCTGGTCAGCAAGGTCACTACCCTCTCCATTTAAATCCTTCCTCAAGACCTATTTCTTCCAGGACAAATACAAGAAACAAGTTGATCATGTGATTGACTTCTATCTGCTAATTTATGAAAAGTGGAAGGGTCTAAGGTAGGGAATGTGATACAAGGACACTGGAATCAAAATTGGGGAGATAAAAGTGATGAATGGTGGAATGATAACAGGAGAGAAATCTGTTCAGTTTAAAGGTCCCTTGGTTATTTTTAACTGATAAGACATGTATTATCAAAACCCGATCATCTTGCTTGTACTTTATACCCCTTTCCCTGCCACCTTTTTTTGGATTGCATATACTTTATGTGAATTATGTAAATATGCCTTCCCTCCGTGTTTTCAACATATCGCATTTTCAGAGTTACTACCAGCCAAATGTTCAATATTTAATAGAACAGTTATAAAAGTTTATCATTAAATTACCATGCCCATTAAGCTCATCACTGATTTAAAGCCAAACCCTATCGCCAGTTATGAGATTTAAAATGATGACAAAGAACTACAGTTCTTCACAAAACATTTAGTTTAGACAAAAACTATTATTTATTTTTCATTTCTGTAAATGAAGGCAAGTAGTTAATATTTAACTCTATTCTCATCAGTTTAAAGACAACTTCTGAGAGTGACCTAAATAGTTATAGTGTCTCAAAGGAAGAAAGGGTCCCGCTTTATCTAACACCTCCATGTTGTTCTGTAGCACAGTTAGAAATAATTTCTCAACTGTAAAACCATGGAAGCAAAAATTTATTTCAACTGATGCATGAACCCGATATTTAGATCTAACCATACCTTTTTACATGTATTCTTGTATGAAGTTAAAAGCAAGCGATACGAGTTATAGAACATTCCTATGCAAGCCTTCTTTTTCAATATATAAGTGTGGGAACTTGAAGACAAGAATAACCAGGGGAAAGGTACTAGAAGTTTTAAGGTGGTAATGCACTTGCGATATACCTTGAAAATATACCGCTAATTAAGAAAACACTAACTTTAGCACAAGTGGGAACACAAACATTTTCTTGTTCGAATATGGATTTAAAAAGACACTAACCTAGTTTTTTTACTTGAGTTTCCATATGGGTAATCATTTATTCCAGATATATTAAACCAATTAAAATGTTAAAAAATTCTGTTTGATTAAAAGCTAGACCACAATACAAGTTGCAGCATTCCTGGGGGAGAAAAATATCCACTTTTATATACTATATAGAAAAATAAAGCACTATTTACATTGTATGCCTCTCAAGTATCATCCCAGTTCTTTCAACATTTAGAAAGCTAAAGTCTTATTCTAATAGCGAAGATGTGAAACTACTGATGAATGTAAGTTGATTATATTTCAGAACACATTTTCTTAGAAAGTTGATTTGATGTGTACAGTAGCTGACTTCACAGGTAAGTTTGGAAAAAATTATTATTTGGGAAATAACAGTAGTTCTAACAAGCCCAATCAGAGTCACAGCACAAAGTGAAGTTTGGAAAAAGTTGCATGAAGGGCTCTAACATGCAACCCCCTTCTCTTACTTCACTTAAGTTAGAGTCTTAGCCAAATGTTACTGAGCTTTCAGATGAAAGCCAGCAAAACTAGACCATAGACATGATCTAGGAGAGCAAGAAATGGACTGGAAGTCAGAATTCCTGATTTTTAACCCCACCTGTGACTCAAACTGGTTCTGAAACCATCTCTCCCTGTAACCACAGGCAAATCTCAACTTCACTTTGCCTCAATTTCCACAACCGCAAAGCAGAAATAATAATACTCTTCTGCCTCACAGGACTTATGTGCAAGACGGTGATTGAAAGCACTGAACACGTAATGTGCATTGTAACACTGAATAGTAATTTTGAGTATATGTACAAACTAAAATTAAGAGGGGAAAACTTGGCCGAAGCAGCAAATGGAGGAACCAACAGCAACCATACTTGATGGAAAGCAATACTTTTTGCTGGTACTTCTTTTGGCCTGGTCATACACATGTCTTTGAAGCTCCTAGGCATGTTAACTCATTTGCGTCCAGGGGGACATTTGCCTACAGGAATCCAGGCAGCAGCCCCTAGCTGAGTGGGCAATGCTGTTTCTGTACCTTATCCCATTCAGGCTGCCGGCTGAGCGGGCAAGGACCCCACCTCTCCGCCCGCCAAGGGCAGTGCACCGCTGTGACGGTTTGCAAAAGCTTTATGGAGCTATTCGTGTCTTTACACAACACCCCCGCCCCCATCCCGGCCTCGAAGGGAGCGACTCTGCCGCGGGGCCGGATCTCCGCTGAGACTCCCCGTCAGGGAGGCCAGACTAGGGCGGGGAGGCAGAGCCGCTTTAGGCAGGGACTGGCTGCTGCTCCAGGCCGGGAGATCCAGCCCGCGGGTAGGGGAGTGCGCAGGGCGCTCCTCAGCGAGGCCGGGCAGCTGCAGTGCGGGGCTCTGAGCAGCCGACACAGCTCGGGGCCCCGGGCCGGCCCCACACCGAGGAACTCGTATTCACCGCAACCAACAGTGCCCGGTGCCGGGATCCAACTCCCCCAGGAGCAGGATCTTCGGGTAGGAAGATGGCGGCCCTGGCCGCCTCCCCGGTGAGAGGAGGTGGCGGGTCGCAGCCCGGGGAGGAGCAGAAGCGAGGCCGGCCAGGGGGAGGGAGTGGGCCCGGGGAGGCCCCCTTGAACTCACCTGTCACCAACAGCCACTGCCGCCCGGGCCTCTCGCCGCTCGCTGCCGGGGTTTCCGGGGGGGCGGGGTCTCTCACTCCTGCCGGGGTCTCCGCGGGGGCCGGGGCCTCTCTCCGCCGCCGCCACCACCAGGGCCTCGCTGCTGCCGGATCCCAGGAGGAGGAGGATGGAGAGCGGGGCCCGGGGGGAGGAGGCGGCGGCGGCAGCAGCGAGGAAGGGGGGGGCGTGGAGAAGGAGGCGGCGGCGGGACTTGGGGCCCAAAACGTCTCTGATCCCAGAAGCAGCAACACCCCGCTCGCATGAGAGACCCGCAGCCCCGCTTCCGGCTCCCGGCGGAAGTCCCGCCTTCGCCAGCGGAAGATATTGGCCGTCGCTAAAGGTTCCCCAGCCCGCAACAGCCGCCTATGATTGGCGGAACGGACCCCGCGCGCGGGATGACGCGTTTCGGCACGTGACCAGGTGCCGTCACCGGCCCTGAATGAGCGCGCGGAGGGGGGAGGGCAGTTCCCCTTCTTCCCCCTCCCCCTCGCACCGAGCACGCCCACCGGAGGAATGTGATCGCTCCTTCGCCCTCACTCGCTGCTGGTGCAGCCAGAAAATTAAAGGGACCGGTATAGACAGAGACTAGTCATAGTGTTCCCCACTGGGGCGCGCTACCTCCCTTTAATCGGGGAGAGCGTCCATGGCAGCTAACGGCTGCCGCCCCATCTCCTTCCCAAAGGCCGGGCACGCGTAACCTCTCCTTCTCTAGCGTGGCCAGCCGTGGGAAAGGGGAGCTCTAAACCACGCCTCCACGTTCCCTTAATGGGGGAGTCATCTCTCACTAACTAAACCTAGAGCCCCCCACCACCTCCCCTTTAACGGGGGCCCACCCCTACTTAATCTAGAGCCCCACCACCACCTCCCCTTTA